GCAAGAAGAACCCTTTTCATATTCTTGACATCGAAGTTTTCATTTTATTCACAAAAATTGTATTTCATATCTCATATCATTCTGTTTATAATATTTTTTTATTATTTTGGGTCGGTTTGGGTCACACCTTATGGTAGAGATCTTTGTTCTGTGATGAGGGCTCACTCATGGAAGAGCTGGAGGGCCAAAGTAGCAAAGTGGTAGTAGGACTGATCCAGGGTTGGCCACATGTACAGCAAGCACCTTACAACCTAGATAGTTCCTTTTAATTGTTTTTATAACTTCAATATATTTTGAAGAATTACTTATATTCCTGCTTTTCTTTTCTTATTTCAGTGATGCTTCACTCTTTGTTGGTATGCAATTGAGATGTATCATCCATTTTCTTCATAATAATCATTTTAACTTCTGCTGGGCTCCCCATTTATGTGTCATTAAGGTTGATTTCTAAATAATATTCTTTATTATTTATTCTGCCACTGAATTTAGTAATTTTCACATTTTGTTTTTCCAGTGGGAAGCACAGTGATTATAGTTTGGCAGATCTTTTTTCTCAGAATGCTTATTGAAGATCAGGATCTTGAATGTGTTGGGGTAGAGGAATCCATCTGTTTAGGAGTTCCTTTAGTCACCATTCTGGGTGCAGAGGACCAGTCTGAATATAATATTCTTAACTGCCCTCTCTTCTCTTGTGACTGGGTCCGTGCTTTGTCTGAGCCCAAAGTTTGTGGTCCCAGGTTCCTCCTCTAATGCCCAGGTCTGGATATCTGCTGGCTTACTCTGGAGACAGAATTCCGTGGATTTCCAAGAGAGGGGAAGATAAGTGAGAAAGAATCGTTCTCCTTTGAAGGAACCGACTAGATCTTGGAATATGTGTGTCTCCAAAATCCTGGCCCTTTCCTGCCCAGATAGCTCTCAGAGAAACCAACTTGGAAGTCTGTCAGGTCAAAGCTATAGGGCTGGTGTAGATCTCCCTGGATCCACAAAGGACAGAGAGTGGGAAAAGAGATTCAGTCTGCTCCAATATGACTGCTAAATTAGAGTTTATTCAGATTCTTATTCAGACTTCAACAGCGGCACCCTGTTTTAGGCAGCCCCAAATGGTTCTTTTTTCTGGTTGGTGAAGGAGCTTACTGGACTCCTGAACTGAATACTCCCAGAGTCATGTCCGTTCTCTGGCTTGGTCTGCAGTTTGTACAACTGTAGCTCCATAGCTCTCTGCTTTGCTGAGGTGATGGCTAGAGCTCTGAACTTCCTTTCAGTGTCATGGCATTTTGGCCAACAGTCTTTAAAATGCCAGTGCTAGGACTGATCAAATATCCACTGGTGATAAGCTGATATATATATACACACATATATACATATAAATATAGATATACACAAGTATATGCATATGTATATAGCTCACATATAGATCAACACATATAGATAAACACATACATGTATATATATAAGTGTATATGTATATAAATGTTATTTTTTCTGGTTGTGTTTTAAAGATATAATTCCTTGAAACAATCTATTCTACTATGTTTTATGGGTTTGTCCCTGAAGACTCGTGATTTCTTCTATTAATTTCACACCTAGCCATCTTATTGATTCTCTTATTATGTAAGTATTTCTCATCTATTTTTTCTTGAGATTTTTACATAAGTGGACAGATGATCTGTAAGTTATAATCATTTTGCATTTTTTGTTCCAGTATTTTTTTTAAACTTTATATCTGTCTCTCTTAATGGGAGTGCTTTTAGCAATTCCTCATAAAGCATCAGACCCTACTGATTATTCACATCATATTCTTTTCAGTTCTTATGAAATTATTTTTGCCTGATTCTTCTTGGTTAGTTCGTTAGTCCTAGCAAACTTTTCAATCCTTCTTTGTAAAAAACTAAAGACCCAAAGTGCTAAGGCTAGAAAGTCCTTCTTTCTATCGGGAATACATATGATGACTTTCACTCATTTGCCCTCTGAGTCAAGAGAAGAAGAAAGCAGTTCCATCCATATGGTAGTCTTTCAGATTCTGAGAAGATGGAAGATCTCCTTTAAGTTGTTTCTTTCAGACCTGGAGAGATAGTACAGGAGACTTGCCCTACATGCACCCAGTTCAATCCCTGGCACCCTACCAGGAGGGGTCCCTGAGCACAGACTAAGTTATGAATTTTGAGCACTGCTGTGTATATCCACTTTCCAAGCACCACCCCTCAAAAGGATCCTAAGTGTTAAAGAGTTTTTCTCTGCCTTACAGTATTGACATTTAACCAATATCCCTTGCCTCGTGGAGAAATGAAGAGAGTCAGATTCCTCTGTAAACCTCCTGGGCACAGAGCTCTGTGATTGTGCTAATGTTTCATCAGCAGTCTGTGGATGTGTCAACATTTCTAGATGCTTCCCCTTGCCTCCGTTCCCTGAAACCTCTGTGTACAAAGTAATCCCTCCACACAGCACCATGGCACACATTTAACAACCCCACTCTTCGGACCCAAAGTAAGACCATTTAAATTATATTTTGTGTTGTCTTTTAGATTTTATTCATGGCTCCAGTCTTCTAATATAGTCAGATGAGTCATATTATTGATAAAGCTAAAGTCACTAAGTGACTTCTTATCTAACAGCTTGCTGTCGGTTCAGTTGCTGTTTGGACCATTTACCTCCAATTTGGATAGTCTGTGAGTTTGAATCCTACTGAAAATTATGCAAAGTTCATTATTAATCATGTAGTTCTGTTTCAGTTTCACACCATTTTATAAAAATTATGAAATCTCAGTCTGTGGAAGGAAACCACTCCAGATTTCAAATTCCAAAATTTCCTTACTTTTCATTTGGTTACAAAACTGGGACAACTGACATGGGGATTTTTGCGACATTAAAGTGAGTTCACCTAGAATAAATAGACATGGAAATAGACCATTGGGTTGTTTTTTTTTTTTTTAGGGGAGTTTGGAGCCAAACCTCAAGGTTCTCAGAAGCTATTTCCAACTCTGCCAGGGTCACTCCAGAAATACTCAGGGGCCCTTGCAGCTGGGGGATCAAACTCAGCATGTGCTCAGCCCTTTGAGCTCTCTAGCCTGAAGCAAAACATTTGTATCCGATTTTATCTTTGTTTGTGGTGCCTGAGCATAGGATGGCAACTCTTAAACAATGAAACACCACTGTATTTCCTATTACGTTTGTTTTCATGCCTGGTGCTTTTTGTTTTGCAGATTTAGGAGGGCACTTTGCATATTCGGCAAGTATGTGCTCCCTATTCTCACACTTAAAGCAGGATCTGAGCCCATATTTTGACATTAGTTAGTTCTGTTTAAACTGTATTCTTTAAATAGGTGCTGTAACAAGCATGCAATTGAGAACACATGTACAATTTATTCTATGACAGACATCAGAAAACTTCAGAACAAACACACAATAATGCAGCATTCTTGGTACTTCACAACCCCAGTCTTACCAAGTGTCTAGTCTTTAGAGATCAATTTTCCTATCTGTGTTTACCACTTCCTGCCCAGAATTCAGGACAGAGAAAGGGCACATGATAAGTGATCGATAAATATTTAAGTAATGAATGAATGAAGTCTGAAATTATGTTCTGACCCAAGTGTATTTATTGAGACAGTAACTTTCATAATTAATGTTCATTTTGAACATCTCCTAAATCATCAATTCAAGTAAGATAAGCAATACAGCTGTCCCAGCGTAATAATTCCAGATATTTGTGGGGAATTACATTCTCAATCATAGGACATGTTTTTCTCATTAATTAACTGATACATAATTAGTTGTCAGTGGACATGTGGCTCAGTTTCATCAATCCCTTCTCAGTGCATCTAAAGATAGTACCCTCCACAGACCAGGTCAGGTGGTAGATTCAGAAATAACAGCCAATAACATGAGAGGACTTTCACACTGACCTTTTTGGGACACAGACACTAACTGGGATACATTACAAACACGCCCCACCCTGCCTTCTTTCTGAGGAACATGTTGTGACTTTCTGTTCTTTAAGACATAGGGGACTGCAGAGACTTCCAGATTTTCTGCTTTATAAAATAATTTGCTCTTTAAGCCCACCACAATTTCGTCTTCTGATTCTCCATGTTATTCTTTAAGGCAGATATGAATCTATGAAATCTGTCAACAGAAGTAGAAATAACATGAAAAATAAAAACCAAAACTCTAAAGCAGTAACAAAACAGATCCGATTAAAAAATAAAACTATGCAGATAATAAAAAAACCAACCAGACCTATATCTCTGAGCATGAACATAAAAGCTCTTGCTCTATTCTTGTCTACACTGGGCACTGTTCATTTACACCTCTCGCAGGAAAAGAACCCTGACTACTTGGTACTCTGGTAAGGAATTCTTTCGCTTATAAGCAGTATAGCTGGCAACTCTGAAACCTTTCCCTGTGGAAAATGAAAGAAGGAACAATCTTGTCCTTTATTTGCATAAATAAATAATCCCTGGTCTCAGGATGATAGAGAATGAAAAGGAGGCACAAAATTATCCTGCTTTTTGGCATTTTCATAGGACTCCATTTTCAAACCTAGCAAGTCCATCTTTGCTTAAGTGGTTTGGGTCTCAATGTATTTGCCAAATCCACGGCCCATTGGATACCACTGCCAGCACTTTCATTTAATGTCAATAGACGATTTAGGAATAGAAATTTTGGAGGTTTTACTTGTCAGATAATTTTTTCTTCCCAGGATTATATTTGCTTTCAAAGATATTGTCTTCTTTGGAAATCATCATTTTTCTATGACTTTTATTATGGAAAACTTTTTCAGGACAGCTATGTACAAAATCATCTCTCACCGTAAGTTTTCCACAACTCATATCTGTTAATGAGACAATTAGGGTCTTTTAAACTTATATGCATATTAGTCTAACATCATCTTTTTCCAAAAGTGCTTTCCCAGCCAAAAAATTGATAAAGGGTTGAAGTATAATGAGTAATTGAGCATATGAAATGATATTTAAACTGATTTATTTTTCTTTTGAACTTAGATCTTTTTCTGGAATTAAAGGACTACAGCTGAAAGTTAACCTCCAACCTAATGATAATTACTTTTTCTATGTGAGAGCCATAAATGCATTTGGGACAAGTGAACAGAGTGAAGCTGTCCTTGTTTCCACCAGAGGTAATTTCTCCTTTGTACACAGAATTACTTTCAAGTATTTCCATTCCACCACCAAAGAGGATATACAAATGGGCAACTTAAGAAAGCTCCAAACCAGCCAACATTTGAGGGTAGTATGGAGAACCAGAAAGGCATGAGAACCCTAGAATGGTCAAACATCAAGACATTTATTTTTTCTGGGCTGGTAGTTACCTCCACCAGCCAGAAATACTGTCATTCGTGGCGTGTATAAAATACTGATGCCCAGCCCCATTACTGGAAATCTTTATGTAATTTATCTGGAGAGGTGTTCCAAAGTATTTTTAATCATCACAGATGATTCTTGTTTGGCTTACAACATGCTACGAAATGTGGGCATGTGTGTGTGCACATGTACATATGTGTATATTTATGTTGTGAGTGAGCAACAGTCGAGATATTTTTGTTTTATTACACTATGAACTCTATGAGCAAGCATCCACTCTTATTTTTTTTCTGTCCACTCCACCTTTTTCTGTGCCAATTAGTGTTTGTTAAATTAATAAGTCCAGGAACTAGTAAAGCTGTTCAATGGCATTTTGAAGAAAATACCCCAATAACACCAACCAAAAATATTTGGTTGATCTGAATTATTGTGCAAGGAATTGAGAAATGGAAAGTGATCATTTTATTATCCTATCAAAAGATGATCCAATGCTTGAGAAACCTGAATTAAGTGATTCTTTTAATCAGAAAAAACTAACTTCTGAAATTTACAGAGAAGACATGAGGACTGCCTGCCAGAAATGATTTTGCTACAGCGCCATATGTTGGTTGCCCTTCCACTGCTAGATCCACTCCTTTAGCATAAGCCAGGGCGTTTTCACACTTTATTGTGCATATGGATCTCTTGAGGAGCTTGTTAAAACATGCATTCTGATTCCATAGGTCTAGGGTGAGACGCAAGAATCTGCCTCTATCTAGTTTTCCTATGCTCTGAAGGAGTGAGCTTTGCATAGTGAAATGTCCTCTAGTATAGAAGGTGCCTGTGACCAGCAGCCACCAAGCATTCGCAGTATCTTTTATTTTAATATTTTTAATTGAATCACCGTGAGCTATAGCTATAAAGCTTTCATGTTTGAGTATCAGTCATACAATGATCAAACACCCATCCTTCCACCAGTGTACATTCTCCACCACCAATATCCCCAGTATCCTTCTCCCCACTCCACATCCCACCCTCCCCCCACCCGCTTCTTTGACAGACAGTTTCCCTTTTACTCTCTTTAGCTATGGGCATTATGATTTGCAATACAAATAATGTTTGACCCTTTTTCTACTTTCAGCACACATCTCCCATTCCGAGCAATCCCTCCAACCATCATTGACTTAGTGATCCCTTCTCTATCCCAGCTGCCTTCTCCACCAACTCATAAGGCAGGCTTCTGCCCAGCTCACAGTATCTTGATCATAGTTAAGATTTTCCTCTGTGGATCAGAAAACTCTAAGTAGGATATTTGTGAGTCAGGAGAAAGAGAGTCTATGATATGAAATGTGGCTTGGCCTAGGGATAGCCCTTGACATTGTGGAAATGTTGTAATCCTGTTTTCTCAACCAATAGGCACACGATTTCTCTTATTGAGAGAAACAGCTCATCCTGCCCTCCAGATTTCTTCAAATGGGACTGTGATCAGTTTTGCTGAAAGAAGACGGTTGACCGAGTAAGTAGAAGAGGGTTTTTTTGGGATGTGTCACCCTCCCGTAGCTTCACCTGAGCATAGTCTCAGTTTGCTGAGAGTGTCTTGTACCCGTCATAAATGAGTGCACACTCTTATAGTTTGATTGTGCTTATTTATTGGGGGGGGGGGAAGGATGACAGTTCATAACATAGAGAAATTGTCAATATTTTTATTGGAAATATAAGCACAGATGGTTTTATTTAACATGTAGGCTGATTTAAGGAATTATCTCTGACTCAATAATAATAAGTACTAGTCCAGGTTAATTCTACCATTATTTTCTTTTTATATATATTTTATATTTATAAAGTTGTTCACAGTAGTTCATTACAGATAATATTCAAACATCAATCCCACCACCATGCACCTTCCCACCATTATAAGAGGAAAGTGTGTGAAGATTGTTGTATTTCATCCTGGAGCCATTTAAGTCCTTATACAAGAGAAAACAAGCATGTATGTTAAAACCAAACAAATGTGTGCTATTTTTGGTACATTGGTGGGCTAGAGTATAAGAGGTTGCATGGTCACATTCGTGGCTGCCTGCTCCAGGATGTTCTGTGTTGCTTTCTTCCTGGAGATTTATTTCATAGTTTCTGGATCTTGGCCGTTGATGAGATTATATGGCTCCAAGGTAGTGTATAGGTGTGACTGCCAAGTCATTGGAAAACTGAAGAGATGGGGGAGGAGGTCCAGTCCTGTTCCAAGCGGGCTTGGGGATCTCAGTCATGGGTCCCAGATACCTGGGTTTTTCTTCAGGTTCCCTCATGGATGAGGCTTGGCCTAGCTTGTGGAGAGTGGCCTTGAGCATGGCTGCTCTTGGGTTCTGGAGGTTTTTGGCTATCTTCTATTATTTTCAATACACGAATGTATTTTGTTTCCGTGCTCCTGAAAAGAAACAGGGGATGGCAGTTTGTTGTATTTCCAGCCACATGTAGAAGTTCAGAATCTTGCCCCATCCCTAGGATTTCTTACAGAAAATAAGCATCAAAGTAAAGACGATCCAAATATTAGGGCATGTAGGGGATCCTTCTCTGTAGTGTTCCTGAAACTGCTTATGGCTATTTTTTTTTTCTGGGATCAGGGGAGGGGATAAAATGGTGAAATATAAAAAGTACTTGATAGGCTTTGTGTTAGTCTTAAAAATCTATTTCTTTTTTGTGGTGCTGGGATTAAACTCAGGGTCTCAGGTATTCAAGACAACTGCTCTAACCACTGAGTGACATTGCTGGCCCTTTAAAGCCGTTTGAAAAATATAACTCATGTGAAATAAATATAATTGTTAATGGCTACTTTGCTGGGGCTGCCACCAAACACTCATGCAGAGCCAATCAGCTTTCACTTACAACTTGCCCTGTTTTCCTATTAGATTGTTCCTCTATGTCTCTGTCCCTAGAAATGGCCAGGCCTTCTCTGGGCCTCGCACACTTGGACTATGTCTATGACAAGGTCAGAGCTTATGTGGGTCCTTTCTCAATCACTGTCTTGAACCATCCCAAATGGCAGCTCTGTATCTGCAGCTTTGCATTTGCAGAATCTGGCATGAGGCCTGAAGCATTGTAGATGTTAAACATATACAAATGGTGTATGGGGGTGTTTATAAATAAATTGGATTTTTCTGTCTTTTTTTGTCTTATTTTTATTTTATTTCTCAAAAAAGTCAGAAAGAGAGGCTAGAGAGATATGTACAAGGTTTTAGACACATGCCTGGCATATGTCCTCACTCAGGTTCAATGCATGGCACAATAATGGCTTTCTGAGCACTGCTGCGCATATCCCTAGAAGCTCTTAAGCACTGTTGGTGGTGCCCTGGTGGTTCATGGCATTGGTGCCCTGGTGGTTTGTGGCATTGCAGGGCCTGCACAGCACTGTGTCCTTGTGCCTTGGCACTGAACTATATGGCTTAGTTGGTTGAGTATCACTGGGTAGGGTCCAGGGACCCCTGAGCAATAATTGAAAGGTCCTCTTGCCAAAAAAAAAATCATAGAAGAAATCAGACTGGAAGCTGGTTAAAAACTCACGATATGTGGTTACTGTGATGCATTTTATGGAATTTTATGATGAGTCTAAAAATTAACTTATGAATATGAGACAGTGAGTCTGGAGAGCAAGGGTCTGACAGTAGGCACACTCAGAAATAAGGGTGTAGGGTAAAAGCCTGAGACAGTGAAGTACATTTCCTTGCATTAATCATGTTTTCATCTGCTAAAGGGGAGAGGGAGAGGGTGCTGACTGAATATTAACGCTGCTTAAATTAAAAATGCCTCTTTGCTGTCTCAGCCTTTTCAAAGCAAAATCGAGCAATTCGTGCAAACAAGGTCAGTTGAAAGTGCTCTGGCGGATTTCGTGGTGCCTGTTACAAAAATAACTAAGGTCAGAATAAAAGGGACCTTTCAACATCCCCTTAGCACACCTTCTACAGTCCAAAGAGGCCAGAGTGCCAAAGACTGTTGACCATAGATTTTGCAAAGCACCCTCATCAGACCTGGTTAATTCCACGCAGTGCTCTGCCTTGGCCTCTTTAACCATCTTATCGTTCCATAACGGTACCTCCTTGAGGCCAGAAAGGTTACACTCTACAAATCATTGTTAAAGGAAAGTTTTGGAGACTTCTTTTTCTTTTCTGCAATTTATGGAGGAAAACCTTGAAAACCATGCTCTCTCCTTACATACTACGCTTGTATTTTCTCACTCTCTTTAAAAGCAGAGATTTTGCCTTTTATTTTATTTCTTCTGGATCCTGAAATTTTTCTGCTTATTTACTGTGTCTCAACCCCTTCAAGTGATGTCATAGGCAGTGTGTACATGTTATTGTGGCAGTACACACGTCAAATGTGTACTGTGAGCATTTGGGAAATTCTGTGATGACATGATCAGTGGGGGCCTGATGAAGAAATTCCAGCTGTTCCAAGAAGAGAATCTGGGGCTGGAGCAATAGTTCAGTGGTTAGGACACTTGTCTTGCATTTGGTCAACCCAACTTTTGTCTCCAGCATCCCATATGGTCCCCCAATGTCACCAGGAATAATTCCCTAGTGCAGAGCCAGGAGTAACCCCTGAGCACTGTCAGGTGTGCCTCCCCCCTACCCCAAAGAAAGGATAGATTCTGGTCTAAGAACCTTTGCATGACTTGGGGAATATTGTTGTTGATGAGATACAGGCTGTTGATTCATTTGTGAAGCTTAACCTGTGATCAATTCTGCTGACAGAATCCCATCTGTGCTGGGTGAGGAGCTGCCTGCTTGTGGCCAGCATTACTGGGAAACCACAGTCACAGACTGTCCAGCGTATCGACTTGGCATCTGCTCCAGCTCGGCTGTGCAGGCCGGCGCCCTGGGACAAGGGGAGACTTCATGGTACATGCACTGCTCTCAACCACAGAGGTAAGGTATTCCCACTCCCCCACTTCTCCATCCCAACTCCTCCCCCAAATCAAAAAGTGGTGAACTGATGTCTAGACAGAGGGCTCTGTGGAGCCTAATCAAGTGCCTTCTACTTCTCTGACCAACTTCTGTATCAAATAAAAAATAAACAAAAACAAAAGGGCAAGTATTGAAGATTAAACCATTATTCTGATTGCTGAGGAAGTCACCTTTAGAAAACGTGTTTATACCTGAAGTCCAGAATATTTTCTACATTTAATCCTACTAATCAATAGACTTGTACACACTCAGTTTGGGCCCAACCAGCTTTTACTCCCAGGAGGGCAGCACCTTGGAGAAGTAGTAAAAGATATATGTTCTCCAGAAAGCTCATAACCAAGAGAAAGGGAAGAAGTGAACTCCAGGCTATGCATCACCCATTTTTCCTTCTATAACCTTTCCCACAAAAGTGATGCTAAAAAGGATTTTCATTAGTTTTTATCGGGGGTGGTCAACTATAGCCCCAATCCACACAAGCCTGTCTTTATAAATAAAGTTTTATTGAAACACAATCATGCTCATTTGTTCATATGTTGGTTATAGCTCCTTTTGTACTCAGTGGTAGAGTTGACTAGTTGCAACTAAACCCAAATCATCCCAGAGCCTAAAATACTTAATCTGGCACTTTTAGAAAAAGTTTGTTGAATGCTGGTCTGCATTATTTGTATTATAGTTAGTTAATGTGCAAAACCCTTTAGCCTGTCTTCATCTCAGAGAGTTAAGGCAAGTATATTGTGATCTGAATTTATTTATAGTATGTTTTCATATAAAGAGCATAGGACTGGGAGCCAGAGACTCGATTTTAATCCTGGCTTCATCTGGACTTCTTTTCTCTGGGCTGTGCAGCACAAGTTGGTTAACCCTTTGAACATATCACATTTGCCTCCTCAATATACTTGATCTGCTAACACTGGGGGCTATAAGGTAGCATAATGTTGGTACAGGAAGAGGTTTGAAATTGTAACAGTATCATACTAATTTTAAGCATTATTCAAATGTAGTGCTTTAAAATGAAGCTCTCAGTGCTTGCATGTTCCCAGAAAAAAGGCCCACAGATTGGGATTTTACATATCTTTAGTTGCACATTTCTCCCAGCAACTCCTCTGACAGAGTTTGAATCTCTGACATGGCTTATAAAGACTTCATCTCCAAGAGCTATTTAAAGTCACATTTCAACAAATCAGACCGATTATGATGACTTGATAGTGTTTGTGCAATAGTTAAGGACCTAGCCCCAGCCCCAGAGTCTATAAAATTACTCAGGCCTGGAACTTATAATTTGATTTAAAGCTGGAATGATGTATTGATTTAATGAAAACTTCCTTAGACACTTGATCCCTTAAAAACCCAAACCCAAGACTAACCCCAGTAATACATTTTTTTTTAGACTGTAGCACTGCACTGCTGTATAGCACTGTCCTACCATTGTTCATCGATTTGCTCAAGCGGGCACCAGTAACATCTCCATTGTGAGACTTGTTGTTACTGTTTTTGGCAGATACACCATGGGGAGCTTGCCAGGCTCTGTCTTGTGGGCGGGATACTCTCAGTAGCTTGCCCAACTCTCCGAGAGGAGCAGAGGAATTGAACCCGGGTTGGCCGTGTGCAAGGCAAATGCCCTACCCGCTGTGCTAGAGTGGAATTAAATATTTTGTTCAGTAGATTCACAGTTTTCTGCTTTGACTCTTTCATGCTCAGGTAGGTTCTGTAAACTCTAGCTCTGAAGATATGAAGAGAACTGCTATGGCAGACAGTTTATGTCATAATTTTTATTCTACTTGCATAAAATTCAAGTTTTATAATTGTCATAAAAGAGAAAGAGTCTAAGGAAAAAAGAGTCAACTGAATTTCTTCCTGTCTATTCTTACCTTATCCCTCTATTTAAACACTTTTTTTAAATTAAAGAATCATGATTTTCTCCAAGAGTACTGCACCACATTTGATGGGGTTCAAAGTAGGAGGCAACCAATATTAGAGGGAAATTTTTTTTACAGATATATATATATACATATGTGTATATATATATATATATATATATATATAAAGCACACAAAGCTCAACCTTTAACAATATGTTAGTGATCTCTTGGGCTGGAGTGATAGCACAGCAGGTAGGGCGTTTGCCTTGCATGCAACCAACATGGCCAACCTGAGTTCAATTCCTCCGCCCCTCTCGGAGAGCCTGGCAAGCTACCGAGAGTATCTCGTCCGCACGGCAAAGCCTGGCAAGCTATCCGTGACGTATTGGATATACCAAACACAGTAACAACAAGTCCCACGATGGAGATGTTACTGGGCCCACTCGAGCAAATCAATGAACAAGGGGAGGACAGTGACAGTGACAGTGATCTCTTATAGAAGGGCTTAATGGCCCCTGGATGAAATACAACAGTCTACATACTCTTTCCTCTAAGGATACTTTTTAGTTGCATTTTCAGCAGTTTTTCATAACAAACAATACAAAATATATTATTTAGGTTCTGCTTTGGGGCAGAGATTGGGGTTTGGGATGGAAACATCCAAAATATGGCAGTGGGAAGGTGTAACGGTGGTGGGATTGGTATCTGAATATTAAATGTAATCAAATATTGCGAACGACTTTATAAGATAAAAAAATTACAAAAAGAATCATGATTTACAAAGTTACTGATAGTTGAGTTATAGGCATAAAATAATTCAATACCAATCCCTCCACCTGTGTCAACTTCCCTCCACCAGTGTTCTCAGATTTCCCACTCACCCCAACCCCCACTATACCCCCCTCCTGTCAGCACATTACAGAGTTTCAGTGGTTGATACTTAGATCTCACGTTTTCATTTTATTTTGAATCTGTGCTTTGGATATATAGCTCTCTCCTTCACTCAGATCGCTGGTGTAACTGAAGCCAGGTGCCTGTTCACCCATTACTCCTCAAGGTTTCTTTACCTCCTTTATCAGTTGCAGCAGCAGTATGCCTCTTGCCAGTCTACTCCAAGATAGTCTATATGTCATAATTGGCAAATGTGTATAAACCATCATTTTCATTACATCCCTTCTTTTTTTCTGCTCAAAAACCTGCAGATGTCTAAAGTGATGTCAGCACTCAGATGGGACCATAAAATGGGGATCCTAGAAAAAAGGTGACTAACCTAGGGGATCATAGCCAGCAGGGGTAGAAAAGGGCCTGTGTCGAGGTTGGGTGTTAACTATGGGGTGCGGGAATCAGATACAGAGAGTTCCAGGGTTATGGAGGTGTCAGTTATCTGGATGATTCCTTTCTGAACAGGAACTGACAATCTGAAGGAGGGGCAAGCAAGAGCTGAGCAGAGAATCAGGATCCATGGCAGATGGATCTTGTTTAGGGCCTAAATATGACAAGAGAAAAATGAAGTGCTCGGTTGTAAATGGAAGAAAGCAGAGCAGTGCAGATCCCAGCTCTGTGGAATGGCTGGAAAGTCTTCAGAAAATTATATTTCTTTGGCCTCCATAATGGAGTTTGGCTCCAAGAAGAATTGGGACTGGGACTGGGCCTGTAGACCCTGGGACCTTCCAAGCAAGGATGGGAAAATCATTCCTTTGGGCATTTAGAACCCTCTAGGCCAGTGCTGTGAAATAGATCATTTTGTGAAAATGGGCAGTGTTTTGTCACACCTGGAGGTTGAGAATTTGAGATGTGGTTCCTAGGACGGAAGAATTGGATTTTGCATTTTTTTAAGTTGTAATTAAACGTGTGGCCACTTGTGGATAGTGGCTATTCAATTGGTCTGTGACATCTATGTGGTACCCACAATCATTCTCACATCCACCCCAAACATGTCAGATAGGTGGTTTGTTCTCCCAAATGCCCAGGCTTTCCCTCCCACCTCTCTATTTCTTCTCTAGATACACTGCCTGGATTGCTTTCTCTCAGTGTCCCCCTCCCTTGCCCTGCCTCTTCTTTTAGACTATATATGAGCCTTTCTGCTCCCAAACCTTCTGTAAGAGTCCAATCCTTTGCTGCCTCTCTCTATTATTGCCATCTGCGACCTCTGTTCTTGAAGTCCCCAGAACATGACAGTGTTTCTCTGCCCTTTCAGTCAAGCTTCCTTCTGCTGATGAAGTTGCCAACTTGCCCCTCTCTAATTCTGGTCCTTCTAATACAGACTTCACAGGTCTTAAAGTTCATTGGTCTTTTTGTCATGGTAAAGTCACTTACCTCAGTTTAAGACCTCAGTCTGTCATGGTATCACTGTGTTCCTACGCATCTGACCTGCCATATCCACAGGTCTTTCCCTCACTGCTTCTCTCTCACCTTTTATTTCATCCCTCCCTCTTCTTTCAGGACCCTGCCTTTCATTTCTAAGGCTTCCAGGAGAAAACTCCAAAGTTGAGTTCTTTTTTACATGGAGCAATCTAATTGTTCTGTCAGCCATTTCTTCTTTTCAGCCTGACCCTGAACCTTTTCTCTCCCAACCAAATAGGTCCCTAAAATTTAGTTTTCAAGCACTTGGAACATCTGTGCCTTGATCTGGAGTTTCAGCCACAGTGCATCTTTAAGTAACAACCTTTCCTTTCCTGCTTAGTAGAGTATGTCTGGGTTCCTGGAGGCGGCAAAGACTATATGACCCTTCACTTCCCAGAGTGATTAGTAAATGATAAACATGCAGTTATGCCCAATAACTACTTGTTGAATTTATCTGAGTAGAAGAGAAAAATACAAAGTAACTCCTATTAGCTACAAGACTTCATTGACGTCAAAATTGAAAAGGTGAAAAGGAAAGTTGGTTTGGGGGTCAAGGGTCTTGATAACAAAGATGGAGCCAGGCAAATAAAAGTGTCTCCTAAGTGTCATAAAGGCCCTTATATAAGCTATCTCTAAATTTTTAAAGCTGTATTTTTTAACACAAATGCATTTTTATGATGGCAGTCCTGTGGTACTTTTAAAAATACGTGGCAGCCTCAGAGGAATTTTATTAAAAAGAATGACATGCCATGAATGCGGTAGTTAAAACATGTGGGCAGCTGGGAAAGAATTAGAATGTTGAGAGAAATCACAAGGCAAGCATATGTTGGTTATTCTGGGACTGCCTCCTAATGTGGAAAGGAGCAAAAGTCTTCAAAATGCTCATCTGTTGGTATGAACTATGCTTTTTTTTAAATCTGAGAAGATCTGGTTACAGTATTTGGGACAAGGTTATCATAACTCATTTTTTGATATGTTAATTGAAGTTAATGGCTAAAAATCATCTCTAGGTGATTTTCTGTCTTGTGTCCCCTCAGATCTCCCATGTTTCAAAATTCTTGTTCTGTTTCCTTTCAGATACACATTTTTCTACAGTGGCATAGTGAGCAACGTTCATGTGACGGAGCATCCCAACAGAGTGGGTATTCTGCTGGACTACATCAACCAGAGGCTGGTTTTCATAAATGCTGAAAGTGGACAGTTACTCTTTATCATTAGACACAGGTTTAATGAGGGGGTGCACCCTGCCTTTGCCCTGGAGAAACCTGGAAAATGTACTTTGCACCTTGGAATAGAGCCCCCAGATTCTGCAAGGCACAAGTGAACATTGACCTCCTGTTTGCCAGAACAATAATTCAAATATTGAAGGGTTTGGGCTTCTTTTCTTGGGATGATCTACAGCATTCAGAATGTCTCCCACACCTTTGCACTAGTGATAGCTACACTCAGAGTGGTCAGAACATGAGCAAAACCACTAAGAAGACCAACTCTCTAGAGCAGTGTGTGAGTGGAAAAGGTGGAGAAAACAGTCTTCTACTTAAGTTTGTGCTCTTCGTGGAATTAAGAGAATTTATGCCTGGCTTGGGAATCAAACAGAGAAATGATCTTCCATCTGTTTTATTAGTAAAGGAAATCCTCACTGGACAGGTATAGAGCAAAGAGAAGATTATGCTGTCAACCATATCCTCTGACTAGAAAAAGACTTTTTCCATAAGAAAAATGTCACCTCACTTCACTAATGGATGATGAATCCTAATCATCAGAGAAAGAGAGAGTTTAAACTGTTCTAAACTGATAATGAACTCTTTTGTAATAATACATACTGTAGAACTAGAGTCTCTTTCCCTTGACATTTCAAATGTAGAAAAGTGCTAGATACTAGACATTTCCATTTTGTTAAATAAATGGTAGAGGTTATAAAACAGAGCGTATTATGTGACTTTATTATTAGTAATTTACCAACCAGTTTGGCATCTCTGAACCAAGACAAGGTGCAGAATAAATAACCATCACATTTCAGTGCTATGATAAATTTTGTGCTATGATAAATTTTCATGTGAGAGTTTTACTTACATTTGTTTTGAAGTCCAAATAATTTCATACTATCATTATACTCATCTGCAAGAAGCCCAGACTTTTTTGTAAAATAAAATGATCTGTGATTTTTAGATATCTCATTTAACTCTCTCAAAAGTTTCCTATACTATACGACTATATGGCGGGCTGGAGTGATAGCACAGCGGGTAGGGTGTCCGCCTTACAAGCGGCCAACATGGCCGACCCGAGTTCGATTCCTCCGCCCCTCTCCGAGAGCCCGGCAAGCTACCGAGAGTGTTCGATATGCCAGACACAGTAACAACAAAGTCTCCAATGGAGACGTTACTGGGCCTGCTCGAGCAAATTGACGATCAACGGGAGGGCCTTTACCGTTTACGACTATATGGCAAGTTGTTAAATATGGAGTTCATTCTGAGATGTTTACTCTTGTTTTCTATAATATAAATACTTAATAACTGAATTTAGCACTGCGCTGCACTGTAGCACTGTCCTCCCATTGTTCATCTATTTGCTTGAGCGTGCACCAGTAACGTCTCAATAATTGAATTTGCATTTGAAAAATCTATATTGCTGGCTTTCTAATATCATGATTGTGGATATGTTCTAAGATCTATTGTTTAATAGCTATAAAAGCTACTTTGGATCTGTAACTACATTAATTAAAGCCCCTTCGAAGCCATCACCACTCTGCTTTGAAATTAGAGCAGCTGTGGGCAAGATGGGTTCTCAGTGAATGGTGGGTGTGGGGAGGGGATAACTTGCTCTTCTGTTGAGGATGTTAATGCCATGTTTTCCAAACTTTCAAGGTGTTATCATTAGACTCTGATCAGCAGCCCATGGTTATAATTACTTTTTTCTGTTGGAAATGCAGTATACTTTTAAAAATGACAATAGCAGCAACCATAGGTATTTTAGAATTAGTCTAATTTGGGATTTCTCCAAAAGCAAACCTCAAGATATTGATTAAAAACTGGTTGTATATGCAGAAGGATAATCCCTCCTGTGAGGAAGTAGGGAAAATGAGGCAGGAAGGAGGAAAGAAAAAAAAGGTATGTTTTCTGAGTGGCATAATAAATAAGTGTGAGCTACTGGAGTTTCCTGTGCTGAGGCACCACTAGAAACCCCAAGGAATATGCCTCAGGCTGATGTTTAGCCACTAATGTCCACCCCTTTTGGTTCCAGGGAGCATTAACTTTCCATCCTCTAGTTTTTTTCAGGTTGCGTTCCTTGTAAGCAAGGTTTTTCCATTGTCCCAAGAAAAACCTCGAGCGGGCCCAGTAACGTCTCCATTGGAGACTTTGTTGTTACTGTGTCTGGCATATAGAATACTCTCGGTAGCTTGCCGGGCTCTCCGAGAGGGGCGGAGGAATCGAACTCAGGTCGGCCATCTTGGCCGCTTGTAAGGCGAACGCCCTACCGCTGTGCGAGTTCGATTCCTCCGCCCCTCTCGGAGAGCCCGGCAAGCTACCAAGAGTATTCGATATGCCAAACACAGTAACAAGAAAAACCTCAGGACAAGGAAATGAGAAACACTGGTGCTTGTCTGTGTATTGAAAATTGTAGAATGTAGGTGCATTGAAGTGAGCTGGGAGTATATGGCACAGAACACAAGCATCTACCAACAAGCTGGAAGCAGTTCTGCCATCATGGAGAAAGTCACTGTAGTGGGAAGAACTGGTTCAACGTCTGATTCAGTTCTTCCTAGGAGATGACTTTATCCATCTCTGCCCCATCAACCCTCCTCCCCCGCTCACACACCCTTCGGGTCATTGGAGAATCAGATTAAATAAGCACTGAAATGGCATCAAATTTTGAGGTTTATAAGACATACTGAGGAGATATTTCAAAGATCCTCCATGCCCTGCCTTCCATCGCATTCCCTCCTATTTCTGACTCTTAGGCAAGTGAGTGGGAAGGCAGCACTCTGGGACCAGGAGATTCATATTTTAGCTGCTTCTGTTTCCATAAACATACTAGATTTCCTCTTGATTCCTGAAGAGTTACTTTAGTGAAGATAAGTCGAGTGAAGTTTATTAACATTACTTCCTCACATTATTTTTTAAAAATTTTTATTAGTGAAACACCATGAGGTATAGTTGTAGACTTACAAATTTTTGTGGTTGGGTTTCAGTTATACAATGATCAAATACCCATCCCTCCACCAGTGCCCATTCTCCACCACCACTGACCCCAGTGTACCTCCCACCACAGAATGTACGATTCTCAAAAAATTAGAAATTGAGCTCCCATTTGACCCAGCAATACCACTTCTGGGGATATATCCCAGAGAGGCAAAAAAGTATAGTTGGAGTGTCATCTGCACATGTTTGTTCATTGCAGCACTGTTTACAATAGCTAGAATCTGGAAAAATCCTGAGTGCCCGAGAACAGATGACTGGTTAAAGAAACTTTGGTACATCTACACAATGGAGTACTATGTAGCTGTTAGAAAGGATGAAATCATGAAATTTATATACAAGTGGTATTACATGGAAAGTATCATGCTAAGTGAAATGAATCAGAAAGAGAAGGACAGACATAGAAAGATTTCATTCATCTGGGGAACATAAAGTAACAACATCAGAGACTAACACCCAAGAATAGCCGAGGTAAGTACCAGGAGGTTTACTCCATGACTTCGAGACCAGCCGCACATGCTAGGGGAAAAGGCAGCTCAGATAGAGAAGGGAGCACCAAATAAAGGGTGTTGGGAGGATACTCCCAGGATGGGAGATGTGTGCTGAGAGTAGACTATAGTGATTGCCACTCAATGCCTCTTTTGAAAACTACAGCTTCCTCACATTAAGCTATCTTTCCTCCTTGCTTCTTCTCTGAATTTCGTTTTTTCCCTTCTTGTTTTTCCCCCTTGACCCAACACAGATGATCAGAGAAAGAAAAGAAATCCAGCAAATTTTGAGTGTAATCAGTACTCTGGAGTATTTAAATACTAGATACAAATAACATGTAGAGCTTATTGCACAGTCTCTTTAAATCCTTAGCAAAGCCTTCCACACTAAATAAAAATAGTTGCCATATTATAGATGAGGAGACCAGTCTTAATGCAGTTTAAATAAATTGTTCAGTTATAACCAGTAGGTGGCAGAGTGTGGATTTAGATGTAATTCAAATCCTGAACTAAGAATAAGATGGTAGTTTCTTTTGTTTTAAAATTAAAGATCATTAATCACATATCTGTAGTATTTGAAAGTTATGCGGGCATAAACACCATGCACACATATGGCCTATATATACACATATTCCTGCATAGTTCATACATACAACATTCTCCCCTTCCGAATTACTTTCCAGATGCTGCTGTGTTGTGATGCTGTATAACTCCTGGTAGGCTTCTGGCAAGCTGCCTTTAACTCTTTCTTCAATAACAATGACTTTAGTAAGTATTTAGAAGTGTCTAAAGTGAGCAGGCATAGTTTTTGTCAAAATGAGTAATATGTTTTTTTCTACTGCACCAAGCCAGAACATAGTTCTTTTGTTTATTTGGATATGCTTACCTAACTTTCAACAGAGCTGAAATATTACTTCATGACACTTACAAAATTGTGTATTTTAAATAGAAAGTCTCCAATCAGAAGCAGCCTAAAATCCCTGTTACTGAGGTAATAAGGAGGGGGAGCCATATGATATGCAAGCTGATGGGTAATAGTATATGATTCAGTTGGTCAGTGTAGATGCAATCTTACTGGTTGTTTTGCAAGCAATCATATTGATTATTTTACAAAGCCTCCTTTACATAAGGCATGATGAATCAGAAAACAAACACCTAAGGATGTGGATATGTAACATATATAAGTACAGGCCATGGTTTGAGTTGTTTGGTTTACAAAAGCTATTAAGTCTGGTATCTACATCCTCTGTAAGAACACAGAAGATATCTTATACTTTCTATAACACCTTCTCATCATGTAGGTTCTATTAATCATCTTGAGAGTTCCATTGATGGGATAATTTGTAGGATTCAACTATTTAGTTGATACTCATGGAAGTGCTTCATCACAGGCTAAGAATACAATAAACACACACTGGAAATTTGCCAAGAAATGGGCCATTTTGGAGGCTTATTTGTCTTCTGACTGTCAACTTGCACAGCATACCCTTTTTCTCTAGACCATAGTTGCGTTCATGAAGCATGTGGCTACTGGTAAGCTCCAAATCTTGTTGAGGGTAGGGGAAGCTTTCACATTGGGATAGTCACTTAGGTGTTTTTCTTTTCTCTTGCTATACAAATAAGCCTTTCATTGAAACTTGCCTCCCCTTTCTCTACAGACTCCAGTAAAAACAAGTTATTGCTAAACAATGCTGAGCAGACTGAGACTGAAGCTTAATGAGGCCCACAGCCAGTGCATTTGAAAACCAAACTATCACACTACCTTTTGCAAGAAGGGAAAGGGTTTATTGCAGTTAGAATACAATGAAGGCAGGAGCAATACTCAAATCTACAATTCTTGTCCCTTTATTCAGGGAATATTTATACAGGCAAGCCTGGCAAGCTACCCGTGATGTACTGGATATGCCAAACACAGTAACAGCAAGTCTCACGACGGAGACTTTACTGGGCCCGCTCGAGCAAACTGATGAACAATGGGAGAACAGTGATATTTATACAGGAAGAAGGAGGAGTTTGTAACTTTCATTTTATTTCTCAAAAAAAGAAAAACAGTTGATTTTAGGACAAACAGGATAGGAGATTTGAGAGGGGAAATGGAAGCCTCAGATTAAATAGATTGATGCTATGTTTTTCTGTATATTGCTCAAAAAAATGTAACTGCTTTATAGAATCTTCTGGGTGTTTTTTAAGGTGAAATGTAAGCAGCAACAAAGGTGTGGGGGGTGTCTGAGTTTTGTTTGTTGTTCCTTCCTGAGAAACAGTTGTTAACATGTTTACCTCTTTTGCAAAGTAGTTCTTACAAAAACAGTGAGAACTCTCATGGCTCTCTGTCCTACCCAACTTACCAATGCCAAGGCCTCTGTCTCTTTAGGGCATGGTTTCAATGCATCCTGATACAAAAGAGCTGATGGATTAATGTTTTCAGAATGCCACCAATTTTTCAGTCAATAGATTCTCTGGAAGAGGGAAATGGTCAATAGTTCTATAGGTATG